CAGATCAAGCATTTATTTTAAAACACTTCTTCATTTTGTTAAGTTGTCTAGAACAATAATAAAGCAGTCTTTAAAAAGTAAGCCTAATAATTTGAACATTCTATAGGCATTTATAGTTATTGACTCCTTGCAGGTAAAAAAACAATAACTGCCTCTGCCTCCCACAATTTGTCTCTTGCAACAAACAGCAAGTTTCACTTTCAATTTCAATTTAAGCATGGGCCTCCTGATGATAAACTGTTTCAGGCTGCAGGGATTGCATTAACCTATTACCGCCTCCGCAAGCCCCATTTTCTCAATTTGCTTCAAGGAGGTAAATTGTTGGGAGGCAGAGGCCAAAGGGTGGGGGCTGTGGGTGGGGATGGCTACATTTGGTGTATAAGGCACACTCATAAACAGATGTGAAGAGCTAAATAATGGAAATATAAATAACAAAACAAATGGAAAATGGGAAACAGAAAAGAACTATTACTATCATGCCTTTGAAAATAATAGCGGCTTCCGGTGCTCGTCTAGCCTGAAGAAGCAGCTCTTTGCGGTAGCTCTAGCCCCGAGATCACGTTACACTGTTTGGACAACGTATATCAACTGTCTGACAGATTGATAACCCTTTCCTTGGGCGAAGATGAAGGGGAGAGCTGCTGAGCTTGGGGAGAGCTCCATTAACCCCCCCTCCAGGAGATAATTCTGCGTTGTGGAAGGCGTGAGCCCCCCTGCAACTTGGCAAACTCCGCGCCCGGGACTCATTCTGCCTTTCCACAGAAACCAAGGCTCACGATCACCGCTGCATAACAACATTTGATCACATCTAAGCAAAATGCAGGCAGAGCAGATATCGGAGAATTTACAACTGTATGTATAGATAAACTTTAACTCAATTTTCTAAAAATTTCTTCTATTAAAACTAACGAGACAGAAGATAAAATGGCGCCAGAATCTTGAAGGCGGGGCTGAATTGTAATTTAACAAACTACTACAGAGCTTAAAATCACTTAAAACAGCATTGATTTATTAGCAAGCTACAAGAGTAATAATTGGAATAAGCGGCTTGTTTGGACTTAATAATTTGGTGGAAGATAAGCTTAACTGAAGGTTAGAAATGGCTTCAAAACAAGTTAAAACAACAACGGTTTTGAAGAGTGCTGGGAGCTCTCCAGCCCCGACAAATAAATTACAGTCCTTACTACACCCCCCCTCCTCCTGCTAGAGAAGCCTTAACCCAAGAGGTGCTGCAAAGAGTTTTAAATGATGCTCTAAAAGACCATGCAGTTGCTTTAGAACTTAAAATACAGGAAAAGGTTTCTGCTGCTTTCAAGGAGGTCTTGGAGGAGATTTTGGAGATTAAAGAGTTAATTCAGACTCGTAATCAAGAGATCAGAGAAGATATTGTGGAAGCCTTTCAAGGCTTGTCTGGCTACGTATTTTTATTGGATGATAAAGTGGAAGAAGTTAACGAGTCTAATGTTAATTTAGCAAATAAAATGGAGGAAGTCCA